TGAGGCCATACTCTTAAGTGAAATAAATAGAATACACATGTAAATACTAAATTGTCTCTCTGGTGTGAGAAACTGAAAGTGTAAATGAAGACCAAAATGTATAATGTGAAATAGGAAGAAAAGGTTCAAAGGGGAAAGGGAAATGGGGTGGGGGGAGAAGGGAAAGAAAAAAAATATGAGAAATAAAGGAAAAAGGGAAGAAAAACTTTTGTAAATAGGGAGGGGTGGAGGGGTGGAAGAGGGGAAAAAGGAATGGGAAAAAACAAGAATTAAGATATATCATGTACAGGTACAAGTTACCAATGATGAATGTGATCATAATGTATACCTAAAATGTATCAATAAACTTAATTTAAAAATAAATAAAATTAAAAATGATCCTTGCAACAGTAAAATTAACCAAAAGCAATGCAAATGTAAAGGTCCCAACTCAGACCTACAGAGTCAGAACCTGAGATGGTGGTGCTCAGCTACTTGGTTGATTTAAAGGCTCCCTCTGATTCTGACATACAGCTAGGGATGGCAAACTCATATCAAGCAGACAAGAGAACACAGTTGGTGAATCACAAATTCTACTTGAGGGTGGTTTGTTGGAAAGTCAGGTATGGCTCTTGAAAAGAGTAAACCTTTAGACAGTTCTTGAAAGATTGATAACCATTTCTGCGTTACAGAATGAAGAGTCAGGGATTCAAGCTTGCTTCTTGAGATTACAACATTAGAGCATTCCCATGAAGAAGACTCAAACAGGTCGAGGGTAGGGGACTTCAGAGCCCCTTCAGAAAGTGGGAACAGCATGGGCAAAGACTGACTTGAAAGAATGACAAGGAAGTGAAAGCAAACCTGTGTACCTGGAGCACAGAGGGAGAAACAAATCATTCTACTCAGATAGTCCAGGAAATGAACACTAAGCATCCTGACTGCTATGTGAATCACTGAGTCTGATCCTAAGAGCAGGCATTGAGTGTCATAGTCAGGTCTACATTTTCATAAGGTCACGCTGACTGCTGTGTGAATAATAAGAGATCGAGGGTGAGGAAAGTGGAAGTTGTTGAGTTTATTGCAGGCCTCGAGGGAAGAAAGGAAGGAAGTTTGCATGGCAGAAGGCAGTGGCAATGGAAATTTGTTGAATATGAAAGATATTAAAGATTTAAAATAAAAAAACCCTACTGAACAGCCAAGGGAATCAGTGGAACTAAAATCAGCAACTGTTGCTTATGTCAAAAATTTCTTCCTGTGTTCAAAAAATGGGGCTAAAATAGATATTAAAAAGTATCATTGTTATGCTATGTTCATGTACATGTAGATTTGTGGACACGTATATTTTTGACTTGCATTAGAAATGCGAAATTTGTGGTTGCCATCAAACAGAAAACTAAAAGATTGCTGTAGGTAAGAACAACTAAATAATAAAGTTGCAAAACATAGTTTTAAGAGCAAGGGCTATGATAGTCATCTAATAACAAATATAATTATTTTAGCTTAGGGAGCAGTGTCAGTCCACAGACGTCCTGAAGAAATTCTAACTAGGTTTTAATTTTGCTTATTTAAGAACTAGAATGTATGACATGTGTAGTTCTTCACATAGTTTATCTGATTTGATCCTTATATTTCCCCTTTGGGATTAGAATGGATGAACAGAAAAAGAATTCTGTGGCTTGTCCAAAGTTGAATCATGCATACTTACATTGCATGTTAACTTAATTTGATCTTATCAATAAGATAATGTCAATCATATTTCAAGCTGCAGTTTTATTTTTATTATTTGAATACAATGAGAAAGATTTACCTGCAGCATGAGTCAAAGACAAGGTCTGAGAAGTGTCATAAATTGCAGAGAGTTCAACATCAGAAAAACCAAGGGAAGGGACAAAGGGGATGTTCGCATTGATGACATGGCAAAACCAAAGAAAAGAACAGGAAAGAAAATGTTCTGAAACAACTTTGAAGGAAATGAGTAATTGGGGAAAAAATTCAATCATAGGAAGATGAGAGAATCACTTCAAATTGAGACTTAAAAGGCTGTGAGTGTTCAGACCAAACCCAGATGGATTCTTTGAATTTAGATCAGTGCCTTTTAAGGTGCGGCTATCAGTTTTTCATGCAAAAAGTCTGATCTGCAGATCTTGTTGAGCTGGGTGAAAGTGGTAAGGGCCTCTCAGAGCAGATCTGAAGTAAAGGTGAAGTCCTGTCCTACCCCCTGAAAACATAGCAGAGATTTTCACCGAGGAAGGCTTCCCTATAATTCCTTGGGCTGCAGTATGTTTGCTGTAGTAACTAGAAGTATGATTAGTGGGGAGGAAAAGAAGAGAGGGATGCTCAGTCTCTAATCCACCAAACTGGTAATAAATCACACAGATAAATTCACAGGAGACTGGAGCATTGTAGTCAGAAATACTAAAGCAGCTGTAGCAAAAGGAATATGCAAAGAGAGGAAGGGAAAGGATATATACTCTAGCATAGACTTAACATTGTGGAATTAGAAGAGATAACTCACATATTTCAGTGTCTGTTATTTTGAAGATGAGGGATGTCAGGCTGAAGTGAATTGATTTGGTGAAAGTTGACTCATTTACCGAAGACAAACCACTTTCCTGCTCCAAAACCTTCCTGACTATTATATGAATGTTTAAAGTAAGAATAAAGTGACTTTCTGGTCTTCCAAGATCTGGTCTCAAACTCTTTGTATTCTCCCATACCTGGTGTTCTCCAGAGGAACAGAGATGGGATGGTCTGTAAAAATATGGCGCAGTGATCAAAAGTATTAATTTTGGGACCAAAACACACTATTTCCATCCTGTCACATGGTTTCCTAAACTGTAAAGTATATACTATAATGACCAATAACTTTAGGTCACTAAGCTGATGAATCTCTTTTTTCATAATGTAAATCAGTACTTAAATTTCATAAGCAGAAGCAAAGTATTTGCTGTTATCATATTTTATTTTTCCCAAATACTGGGGTTACTAAGCTGTAATACATAGTCCTTGCCATTGAGATGCTCACCATCTAGTGAGGGGAATGGATGCATGAATGGACATCTACAGGGCTAAAATAGAAGGACAAATGTTGTCCAGAAAGAGAGAAGTAGGAAGGCATCAACACAGTGTGGAGGAAAGGAGGTTCGACTCTTAATTATGAGTAGGATTTTACTGGAGTTTGCAAAATCAGCATAGTAAAGCATGGAGCAAGATCATCCCAGACAAAAGCAATGGCGTGTTGGAAAGTAGAAGCTTGAAGAGGCAGGTTATTTATGGGAAAGGGTGGTATGTTTGACATAGCTCTAGTGTGGCATGAAACAGTAGGGAAGAAACCGTGGGTGACAAAGTTGGTTTACACTCCTTAGAGAGAGGCCTTGTGGATTAAGCCAGCAGTTCATTTTCTCCTCCTTTTTTGACAACTGAAGGGGATTTTGACCAGGAACAGCCAGTTCATACTGGTTTCTTTGTGAGTACTCTGGCTGCATTTCCACCACTATAATTCTATGTATGAATTAGGTTTCTGCTGATACTTAATTTGGGAATTAGAGAGCCCTCTTCCCTTTTTATCAATGTTAAATTTCATTGGCTAGTTGGCAGTGAAGGTGCTATCAGAGTGTTGCATGAAGAAATCAGATAATCTAATATATGCTGTGTATTATGAGTTATAAAAAGTACATGGATGATTACGTGAAAAATCTGAATTTGAATTTCCTCATTTTTAACTTATTCTTTTAAGGTCTTACAGCAGCAGCTGCAGCAGCTGCCGCTGCTACCAATGCAGCTATCGCTGAAGCAATGAAGGTGAAAAAAATCAAATTAGAAGCTATGAGTAACTATCATGCCAGTAATAACCAACATGGAGCTGATTCCGAAAATGGGGACATGAATTCAAGTGTTGGTAAGTTTTATGTTTACTGAAACTAATTGTGATCCTTTTGCTGCAGAACTGCTTACTTTTCCTGAGCCAAGCGCTTTGCTACCCATTCAAAAAGTCAGTACTAGCTCAAGAACATTTAATATTGTGAAGATGACACTTTAACCCCATGTGCTCTGATTACATAGTTAGCAACATTGTGATTTTTTTTTAATAGGACCAATTAGGTAAGTATTCAACTAGTGTATTCCATAGTACAGATAAATTTAATAATAAAAATTCTAAAATAGTGGGTATAGGTAAACCAACAGAAAAATATACACAAATTAAACCCTATGTTTTATGTATTAAATTCTTTTAAAGCATTTGTTATCAAGTAAGACATTGACCACTACCGACAGCAAAACTCATACAGTAATCACCCGCTCCCCAACTGTGGGGGATATGTCCCAAACCTTCGGTGGATGCTAGAAAACGTGGATAGTACTAAACTCCATAAATACTATGTTACATACATATCTATGGTAAAGTTTAATTTATCACTTAGGAGCAGTAAGAGATTAACAATTACTTAAGATTGGACAATTACAATATATTTTAATAGGTTATTTACAACTTTTGAATTACTTACTTCTGGAGTTCGTCATTTAATATTTTCAAATCATAGTTGACTATAGGTAACTGAATTCATAAAAAACAAAACCATAAGGGGGAACTACTGTACATCTTTTCATATACTACCATGAACAAGGATTATTTTGAGTAATTCTTTCTAGATAGAACCATTGTCATTGTCCCTGTCATTAAAAATACAATTTTAACTTCTCTTTGGTATTTTTCTTTCCCACTGTACAGACAAAAATGATGAAAATTTAATTATCACAGTCAAACCAAATAAAACAGCTTTACCTGTGCAAAATATTCATTTGGGTAATTTGTTTTGTCAAATCCAATTTCAAATGTGGATTAATTTTTTTATTAATAAAATCTTTAACATCTGAACATTGACATGGTAAAACATTTTATTTGGCTACTGTACTCTATAATTTTCCTTTAAAATACAGAAATCATACTCAAAATGCAATTTAACAAGAAAAATTTGGATTCTACACCATGGGTACCAGGTGCCATATTCAAAACATTCTTATGAAGGACACAAAAATTCATGACAGTTCAGTCAATTCTCTTTTCCATGCAGCATTTTGACAGACTATTTTCTAAGTTAATAACAAGCTTTTTACTTTCAGCCATTCGGTCCATTCATAATTAAGGGTACAATATCTGAAGAAATACTATGGATTTTAGTAATAGTCACATCAGTTCTCTGGAAACATACGCTAGGCAGGAATGCAAATGTAGGAAGTGCTTTTGAAACATATACACAAAGCACAGAAAGCTGCTGCTTCAGTGACACGAAAGGGCACCTTCTAATGTAAAATGGGAAAAAGTAGAACTTTTCACCAGACCCTCATAAGGGTCCTTGAAAGAGACTTGCAGCAATGTTGAATTGAGAAAAAGTATTGGTGGCAATGTTTGGAAAGGTGAAAAGACATGGAAGAAAGCCTGAAGAGAGGGCTCAAAAAATGAAAAGGACTAAGGAAAATATCAGTGCTTTCATTTCTAAGTGCTCTTAGGGAGAAGACCAGGAAGACAAGATTGTTTAGTTCATGGTTTGTATATGTAAATGGAAACTTTGAAGTTAAACCAGTATTGAAGTAACATGAAAGAATTATAACGCTGCTTTTGGAGCTATTGAGTATATATATTTTTAAAAAATAAAAGTCTTTTACTTTGGCAACACTGAGCAGTATGGATCAGTTTTAAAAATAAGTTATTGGCCACTGTAAGCTACTGTAATTGTTCCAAAATGTAACCTGGATTGTTTTCAAAATATTTGATAGTTGGTGTTTTGAGGAAAGATTCTTAAAATAGGCAACATAATAACATTTAAAGCAAAATATATTAAAACATGTTACCTCTGAATTTTTCTGAGCAGTAGGACACATTGATCAGTTTTGGAAAAACCAAGTCATAAGGTGAGGGGGAACATTATTCATAATCAAGTTATAATATACATTTAATATTTGATAGTATATAGTAACATTTTGCTACTGTCAAATTGTAGCTTACTTTAATTGCTTTGGTACATAGGCTATGCAAGTGGCTTAAAATAAAATACTCTGAATTTCATTTTGTGTAGTAATTGGAGGATATAATTTTTCTTCCAATAAAGGATTTTAATTGGTCATTTATACTGCTTGTTAGCTTTGACATTGATTATCCAACCTCAATTTGAACCAGGAACAGAAATTTACTTAGACTTTCCTAGAAAGTTTTGATATTTTGAGATGTGTTAACATCATTGTCATTGCTAATCCCTAAGGCACGTAACTCATCCTGTTGTACATATCTTTACCTGATTTGGGCAAACAAAGAAAAAGTTGCCATTTTCATTGTATTCTCACGTGCTCCTGTCTTCTAAAAATTTACAGTTTATATTATTTTTCCTGAGCACCTCTATTCCTGTATGTTTATCTAGAGAGCAGGGAAAATCAGCTTGGGAAGGGAAGAGGTGGTTGGAAGGGTAGAAAGCAATGGGAGTTGAACTCACATAGGTCAATGAAGTCTCTGAATTAACAGTTTTTTATGGCCCCAGTCTTCCCTGGTTCTGAGGAAAGTTCCTGCCTCTGAGTAAGTATTCAATAATCACTTGTTCTGTGACTTTGGAAAGTTATGTAAACTTTCTGAGCCTAACATTCCACATTTGGAAAAATGGTATAGATAACAGTGTCTACATCATGAGAATTAAAATGTATATCTAGTGCTTATCATGTTATTTATTACAACCTACTTATCACATTGTTTGGTTGGTGTTTGGGGATTGCTTTTGATATTATTGTATCTCAAACCTGCCCTCTTGAGAACTGCCTTCTTCTCCTTTTTACTGCCATAAGCTGCTTCCTCCTATTTTCTGTTAGGTATTGCTTGTTAAGGTGTGAGGAAATTTGATGGTAGCTGTTATTTGAATTTTTGCATATTTGACTTTAGTGCCTTCTCAGAATTGAAAAATAATCAATGACAGGCCCAGAAATCAAGGTGGGCTGTGGGTGGAATGGCTAAATAAACAGGCTAATGGCTAAAATGGAATAGCTAAAATAACAGAAAGTGGTGGATCCTCTAGGAGAATCAGTTAGCATGAACTAGTAAGAAACTGATATTGAAGGATATGAATTCCAGAAGAATCTCAAGAATCTCCAATGCCTATATTTTAGAAATCAAACTTAGTGCTCTCATGAATTTATCAGTTGGCTCTTTGAAGTTACTTAAATGATGCATTGTTGCTAGTCTTGCCCAAATCCACTGACATTTTGGAAGTCAATTCAGTCTTCTTTTTGCCTCCCATACTCATCTGGCACACAAGTTCTATTAAATATTTTAGGCTGTCCTTAGTGTGAGAGAATTTTTTCCCTTGGTTGTAAATAAATCTATACTGCCTCAGAAAATAGATTTTGTTTTCGCTTGGCTTGGTTCTGTTTGATTTGGCTTGAGGTGACAGTATAATTTTGTTACAGATGACCCTTTTCACTATAAAATGAGTATTAAAAATTAGCTGAAAAAAGCTGTTTAAAGAAATCTTAGAAACTAACAATTATTTTGTACCCCAATTTTACATGGTAACCTTGAGTTCACAAAATCATCACTTTCAGCATGATTCTTCCCACAAAATCATCACTTCAGAGGAAGTGAGGACCTCAGGATAGATCTGAGTGAGGCATCAGCATTCTGAGTAAAATATATGGCAGTGTCGCCATTCTCCCTCATCCACAATCAATTGGATTCTTTTAGTTTAATATTTACTTGCTAAGATGAGATGCTAGTCTGCATGGTGATAAACAGTCTGCTCCTGGCATCTGAAGGTGACCTGTCAGTTCATATGGACAAATCTCCTGCTTACTGAAATGTACAAAATAAATCATTAAAGCAGGCAGGTGCTCATTCCCAGATTTAAATCACCATAGATTTATGATTTGAATTAATGCTTCATTTGGCCATAGAAATGGATGCTGAGACAAATGATATGCACTGGTTGGGGTTTCCATCCTGTAGCCATCCTGATATTGATTACTGAGATGTCTTAGCAATCTCTTGTTTATATCAAGTACTATCTTGTGACAGGTTGGCCGATATGAGCTACATTGCAGATAAGAAGGAAAAATGTCCTGGATTCTTTTTAGTGGCAACACTATCCACAACATACAGGCCAGATAAATTGCTATTATTTTTCTTTAAGGACTGATCTGCATAACCAGCTTAAAAAATGCTGCTTAGAAATTGGAACTGGGATATTGGAAAGGAAGAATTTAAAAATAGTAAATCCAAGGTCAATTTGATAGTGTATATTACTGTGTTTTTATTTGTTTATCTTCTTGGCATTAGACACTTTCTGTAGATGCTAAATTAATCACAATTGGTTTAATCTAAATAAAGGAAACTTAATTTTACTTCTAGTTTTTAAAAGTTATATAAATATTGACATAGTGAGCATTTCTTAATGTATCTATGTTTTTAAAATACATGCTAAACCTAGTGTCTTACTCCCTTCAGCAAAGACAACAAAGGAAATAAGCTTTTAAAAATAAGTGCATTAAATATTATTCCAAGTGAGAAGTTCTGTGAACTCTAATTTACCAAGAGGCAGGAAAAGACTACATTTTTTACTTCTCTTAACATTTTATTTAAGGAAAACACTATGTACACAGTTTAAAAAATACTCGGAGGATTTAAGAGGGACCTTTGCCACTAGCTAATATCTGACTCATAGAACTGGTAAACAGCTATCAACAATAGTAGATTGCTTGCTTAGTAGGAAATGAGTTCATATCTATTCAAAATGTGATCTCAAAACAGATGTCCCAAGAAAATCTCATTGTTTAAACTATAGTCATAACCCCCTAACTGCTGTTATTTCTTTAAGGAAGTGAAGTAATCTTAAGGCTTCAGTATTTTGTCTTTCTGAACACTGT